GTTATCTACAGATTGCTTTTACTATGAAATTGACAGTTCATGCGTCCCAATAATAACAAAGGTGCTATCTGTCAGTGACTTTGGTTATCCCTAGTAGGCTTTAGCTCTATCGCAGGATATTGAGGGATAGGAGTATAGTTATCAGTGAAGATCAGTATATATATCTTATCTATTTCTTAAAAATACATCAGATTTAAACAAAAAATCATTTCGGACTCCAGTTCAAGTAGTAGTTCAAGTGCTATTGATATTTTGAAACAAATAAGGAACTGGGAATTTGACGAGGACGATGTGGTTACCACAACACGACCATATCAAGAGCGTGTTAATTACATGTACAGATATGACGATTACGAGTTTGTGTATAGATTTAGGCTAAGAAGACTAAATTAGAGAATTTTATACTTGTCCGTTATTCATACCTACATCTTTATTTTAATTAAGTGTTCCAGTGGACGAGAAATGAGATAAACATTGAATGTGCAAAATGCATAGTGTAATAAAAAGATGGTTTAGAATAAACTGTTTTATTTTATTTAATTATATGAATTATTATTGGGTTGTTTCTCCTTCTCCAGTATATCTAGCTAGAGTTTCCGTTTCTTTAATGCATGTATTTCTTTTCGATCTGTTATTGACTCATATCATCTGCATCAGCTCGTCTTTTCTGTTTTCCTAGAAAAATATTATTTATAATTATAATATTATTTATAGTGTATTATTCCATTTTGCTCCTCACCATATAAAAGTTTTATAACTAAACAGTATTGAAAAGTAAATAGTCATAACCAATACCAAACCCCAAAAATGAAATATACAAGAAACTATCTGTGATACCTAATCCTCCAAGTCGCATCCTTGAGCTGGTTATTGCTGGCATTTGTGACTTTGCTGAACATCAATGGATTTGCCTCCACCAATTGTACCAGCTGCATTACTTCTTCTTTCGTCAATAGCATATTCTTTTGCTACAATGAGTGCACCAAACACGAGTTATTAGTCACATGTATGTTCATGCAAACAACAAAAAATATTCAACAATCCAAGTATAAAAGTTCAGTGAAAGCCATAGAACTTTAAAACTTCAATAGCTTCAATCTAAAGCTAGAAAAGCACAAACTGTAATACTTACTGAGCTCATTTATTATAACAAACAATTCTTTGTTATATTATCATAATTTATTGTAAACAAAATCAACAAACAACAATGTCAAATGTCAATGTTTTAACAAACACGTTCCGTTACAAGTCGCGCACTCATCCAGTCGCAAACATGAAGTTTTCGTTATATTTAACTTAAAAAAATATTGTTTACTATAAAATTTGTGCAAAATATAAGGTTTCGTTAATTAATTCAAAATGTTTGTGATATAAACATGACAAGATGCTTTGAAAACATTATTGTAACTTAGTGGCACTCTGTGGGGCTCTGCATACAATGAAACACATGGGAGGGCTCAGATAGGCACCCTATCTACTGATATCTAGAGATAGCAAAGACACATTTTAGTTATTGGGACGACATCGAAAGATAGATAGCTTTTAACTGACTATCGAGGATAGCTATCTATCTTTACCTATGGATTGAATATTGGGAACGGCCGTAAGGGAGAGGCCTTTATCTTCCGGCTGATGGTGATGATCATAGTTGTATTGTATCTATTGTAGATTCTAGCTTACCGGAGTTGTAGCGGTTTAGGGAGGCTTTTTTTAAGGGGGGAAAATCATCGAATGACTGCCCCCGCCTGGGTGAGGCGGGAGGGAGTGTCAGACTCTTACTGACTAAAAACCACCCCGTTCCTACTCCTTCGAGCCGGAGCCCCAGTAACCCGTTAGGTTCTCCACGACTCCGCATCAGCCTTATTGGGCATCATCCGTGGTGGTCTGATGGGTCTTTGACGAGCGCGCGGGACGCGACGCGCCGTACGCATGGGTGGCTAAGGCAAGGTTATACTATAAATAAAAAAAATTATGATGAAAACAATGGATTTACAGATAAAAAGTTGAGTTACATTATTTACTATTCTCTTGTGTCACTGATGAAGTAACAAGTAATATTATGTATTAGAAAACATACATAACATTTATAAAAAAATAACAAAACAACTATTATTATTAACATTAAGTCTCAATGTTTTCCTGTTCAATAATATCTATACGATGGAGTTTAAATAGTTCAATCGTACGATATTTTAATATTCTACTATGAAACGATAAAATTTAAATAAGTGATTCAATTCTATGGACAGACGATCTAACGAAGGTCATAGGAAGTTGCTGGACGTAGATTGGAGAGACACTTTCACATTTTTTTTTCATGGCGTAAGCCGGTAAACGAATAGGCGGATCATCTGATGGTAAGCAATCGGCGTCACCCATGGACACCTGGAACACCAGAGGCATTACAAGTGCGTTACCGGCCTTTTGGGGATTAGGAGTTTGAGGATCGTTGGGGATTCAGGAATTGGGGAGATTTGGGAAGGGAACGGTAATTTGGCCTCCATCCTACTAATATTATCAATGCGGAAGTTTGTATGAGTGTTTGTAACTCCTTCGCGTCAAAACGGCTGAAGGGACGGGGAAATGGAAACAGAGTTTTTTTAAGGGGGGAAAATCATCGAATCACTTCTCACGCCAGTGTGAGGCGGGAGGGAGTGTCAGACTTTTATTGACCAGAAACCACCCCGTTCCTACTGCTGCACTTCGAGCCGGAGCCCCGGTAACCCGTTAAGTTCTTCGCGGCTCCGTATCGGTATCCGTATCGTATAATGGAAACAGGGGTAGATTATGGTCTGAACGGACACATAGGATCTATATTATCCCACGGGAACGCGAGCGAAGTTGTACGCAGAAGCTAATTTAATTATCTAAATTATTATTCGAAATTTAAAAAATGTGTGGCACATACATAACATAACATCACGCCTTTTATCCCCGAAGGGGATCAAAGGGGGCAGAGGTGCACATTATGCCACTATACAATGTCACACCCTCTTTTCACTATTTATGTTATTAGTCCCATGTAATAGGAGGTGAGCCTATTGCCATATACCAGGCACAATTCCAGACTCCGTGCTGTTACTGAGTTTTTTTTTAAACCCAGTAAATGTTTGCCCGTCCCGGGAATCGAACCCGAGACCCCTTGCCCGGCAGTCGCACTTGTGACCACTCGGCCAATGAGGCAGTAATTATTTTATGTGGCATTTCGACATTATTAGAAACAGGACCAATTGTAAGGTTCCCTTTATGTTTTGTTTAATGGCTATATTTTTTATAGTATAGGGCTGCCGCCCTACAAGCTCACCGATCACCTGATGGTGGGCAATCGGCTCCACCCATAAATATTAGTGAATTTAGAGGATCTCCGGCTTTGTAGGACAATTTAAGTGTGGGAGGGCCATGCCAGCATGAATGGGTATGCTCGACTGGAGTGATACCACGGCCGAACAGAAAACCGACGTGAAACAACGCTTACCGTTGTTCTTCATCGTGTGTGTGAGGTTACCGGAAGCCCAATTATCCCCTTCTTCCCCAGTCTCCCCAATCCCTGAATTCCCAACAATCTTCAAATTCCTATTGCCCAAAAGGTCGGTAACGCAATTGTAACGCCTCTGGTGTTTCGAGTGGGCGACGCGGATTGCTTACCAGGTACCATAAAGTGATCCATCTGTTCGTTTACCGGCTTAGCCTATAAAAAAGGATATACATATTGCACTTTTGACAAATTAGGTCTCCGGTTTCCACAATCACATGGCGATATACAATGCAAGCATTGTTTCATGCTAGTTTTCAGCTGCGATCTTGGTGCCAATTCTGTTAATACGATAGACATTGGTATTGTGAATTTTCGTACTCGTAAGTTGCAACAGTAGCGCTCATTGCATCCGTATTGCGTGGATATTGAATGAACTAAATGGTATTGAGTTTGGCTTTATATTCCGTACTCTAAATGCTATTTAAACGGCTACGATTGGGGTATAGTTTTAAAAATGAATAATTATTGATATTTTATTGGATTGAAACTGCATTGACATTGAGATTGGTTTCAAGAGTAAGCACCCAGTTCATGTCGAAGCACTTTGTCACATGTTTTAACGAATGTAAAATCAGTACATATTTACGAATTTAATTTGCAATGTATGGACACTGTACATGTCTGTGAATCGAAATCAATATACCTACAAAAATTTGAAGCAGACATCTTCAATCGATTGAGCTGACATGTTTAGTTTTCATGATCACATAAATGCAAAGTCGCATTGACCGTTGGTTCCAAAAAGATTGTAACTTAAATTTATTTTAAACTTATGAATAATAATTATTCAATATTTTAAAATGATTAATGCAATTTCAAATTTTTCCCCTATTGATATCTAAATTAATTGCAGGTTATGAGAATTGCTGATTGGCTGTGGGCAATTCTTTTCCTAGAAATATTAACAATGGTATCCACCTTTGGTAATAAAATGATTTAAGGAAAATGGTGAGAGCTGATAACTATACGGGTTTCATCATTAGGTTAAAGAATATTTCAATTATATTATGAAATAACACTACTTGTTTGTCGTGTCTATGGTTTCGCACCTACGTAGTTAGTGTTGTTATAATATTTTGTTTTTGTTTTTCAGCCATACTATAGTACTTATACTTCGGCTTCCCAACCATCAGTTACTCCCTGGACGTTGTCGCATTCAAATGTGTTTTATTTAAAAGATTGAAACTTGAGTGAAATTGCTAAAAAACTTTATTAATATAAAAATATTTTCGTGACATTTTCGGAAATTAAAAAAGTTTAAAAATTAAAAAAAGTTTAAAAAAATTTAAACTTTTTAAAATACGTGTGTTGTGAAATAAAAAGACAGTTAGTTACATAACATTTTTTCTAATAACTGTAACGTGTTTTTGCCTGCTTTGATGATTATTTCATTGTACGTATGTGATTTACTTGTATAAGGAAAATAACAGTGTACATTACTCCAGTCGGTTGAAATATGAATGAAAATTCGAGTTGAGCTCATTCGCTGTACGCACCTCGGGTTGTGCGGTCAACTATACAAGGTACGAACCTTGCAGTTGAACCGACAATCTTGTCCTAAAACCTTTTTAAGGTCAGGATAAAATAGTTCCTAAATCTCAATGCAGTAGAATTTTCGAAAAGAATTTAAAAATGGCGTTATTTGTGTTTGTGCTTTTGTGTGTTGCCGTCGCTGAAGTGAAAAGCGCGATTTTGAACCCGTGGAGTAAAGGTAAGGTTTAAAAGTTTTTTTAAACTTTAAATAGTGATAGAGTTAGATAACCAATACTTCGATTACCTGATGAATTAGTGATTTTGTTCCAATTTAAGTAGTTTAATGATAGATATTGGTGCTAAAGAATCTAGATTACCGTAGATTTAGACTATAATAAATGGAGTTAAAGTATAATCCTGCTTAATCCACATTACAATATATGTTTTAGGCATTGTTTTTTAATAAGTTCATTAATTTAATTCCGAGCAAGACAAATAGACGAATATTCATTAATTCTGTCCAATTCCATTTCATTGTTTTAAACTATTTGACTTAAAACTTGTAATGACGTACGTTTTTTTACCAAGGATTTGATTTTAATTTGAGATTGATGCTAAAAATGTATCTATATATTTGAAAAAAGTATTCAAAAAGTTCTTTATCCAAATTGCCATACGCGCATGACAGTTAAGAGTTTAAAATATTTTAAATGGAATAAACTTACTTTTTAAACTTTTACCCGATTACCTGCTGACGTAAATCGAATTGTACTCAATAAATAAAAATGTTGAAATCAAGTATTAAATTACTGATGTAATTAAATCGCTTTATTATTATTACTATGAAAATGAAATATTTGTTCAAATAGTCCTAAGCACATGACAATTAGTTATTCTTTGTATAATTTTTCGCATATGAAATTTATAATTGGCTTAATGTAATTAAATTTTGATATTCGTTTTTCTGTTACAATGGTTTAAGTTTATTAAGTTGTGTCAATACCATAGATTGTGATTGCTTGATTAATTTCTTGACGAATTATAAGCCTGAGCTTAGACTTTATAAATAGCTTACGTATATCGAGAGATATCAAGTTATTTTTGCATTTCATATGAAGGCTCTTACGCACAATAATATTGGTTATTGTGATTCCCGCTACAATGTTTCTACTAATTTCCTTCAACCAATGACGTACGTGAGTGGTCAATTTAATTATGTTATGCCACACGTTTTCCTTATAACTATATAATCCCAATAAATCGTCCTGCACGTTCGTAGAAAAGAAAAACCACTGTGTAATTAAAGCCGTAAGGTTTATATTTGCATGGCATTAAGGAGAATATGGCTGTCTGATCATGGCGTATGTGCATGCTACATTCTTAGTGCCTACAGAGAACTTAATGTGCTATAGATTTTTCTGGGTTTTTTCTATTTACACGATTGTAATACAATAACATGTTTTGTATAAAAAGTAATGTATGGATATATAAGTAGACATTTTGACCAAATGCAGAATATTAACTCATCAATAGCACGGATATGAAATGGGTTCAAATACAGCAGTAGAATCGCCCCCAACTAGATAAATAGTCAAATCTCGGTGTTACACCGAATATGTGGGTCTCTGCCTTTCCACCCTTGATGTATCAAAAAGGCGTGGCATGATGTATACAATTAGCATAAGATAAAGATTGAGAAAGGGTAATACAATACTACAAATAAGCATCCATTGCGTAGAACAGTGGGCTGTCCCGCTATAAACTCTATGAGCTTCATACGTCATTAATGTCAGTATATAACCAAAGCATGAGGATAAACTACTAAACGCCTATTATATAAAGTAATTAATTGCTAATAAAGTTGCTGGCAACCAATTGCCAAGTAAACAACTACGGTTTTATGAATGAACGAAGGTCAAAGTTGAGTGTAAACACGTTCATTCATAAAATCGGGTAAATACCTAACTTTTATGCGAATTCATTCATGAAATAATTTATAGTTATTAAATAAAGCCATATAAGGTACACTTGGAATTTGTGAAAGCTAATTTTTAAATACCTCCCAAACTTATAAATAGAAACAGGAAAAGTAATTGTAATTTACATTTATAATTGAAATATAATTCATAGAAGTAATGCAATAATTAATTACCAAAATAGGCACGGCATAGCTTTAAAGTAACATTTTTAATTTTTTCTTTCAAAAATTTTAAACTTTGTTTTTTGTTGGTTACAGTTGAAGCCAACAAATGTGGCGTGGAAGCCAGTACCAATCTGGTCCATCACAATCCTTGGCTGGTCTATATCGAGTATTGGCGTGGAAATTCGGATACTGAAATCCGATGCGCCGGTACCTTGATCGACAGCAAACATGTCGTCACCGCTGCCCACTGCGTTAGGACTCTGAAGTTCAGTCGGTATGTATCATAATTATTAAAAGTTTAAAAAGGATTAAAAAATATATATAAAAAAGATTAAAGATGTATAGAATTTTTTTACACTTTTAAGAGGTTTAAAAAAGTTTAAAATTTTGATTTAAAGTTTTTGTTTAGTTCAAAAGAATATATCTAAATTGGAATAATTTCTTACTTAATTTTTTTCCTATCTTTACAGTTTAGTCGCTCGTCTTGGCGAATACGACGTATATTCTAAGGAGGACTGCGTTCACGGAGTTTGTGCCGACCCCATCGTAAGAATCAACGTGGCTGAAATCATCGTGCACCCTAACTACAGCAACCGGGAACATGACATTGCAATCTTAAGGCTCGAGGAGGAAGCTCCTTATACCGGTATGTACATGTTTTATGCTTTAGTTCTAAATATGGTTGGTTTAGTTTAAATTTTACCAGTTTAAAAAGTTTTAAACTTTTTTAAATATATATTTACGCTACATTACGCCTGTATTTAATAAGTAAAATTTGTATAGTTTTAACACATCATAATTAACCAATAAAATTATTATTTACAGATTTCATCCGGCCCATCTGTCTGCCTTCTGGTGATCTCGAAGAAGACACCCAGTTCTTCGCAGCCGGCTGGGGTGAGATCCCTACGAAAGGCGTCTTTAGCCACGTAAAAAAAATCATTCCCCTACCGTACTGGAATAGGGAAAGGTGTCAAAAGGTGTACCAGTACAATTACATCCCGGAGAACGTGATCTGTGCTGGAGGTGAAGAGGGCATCGATACCTGTAGGGGCGATTCTGGTGGTCCTTTAACTCGAGTGAGAGACACCATCGAGCTTTGGGGAGTTACCAGCCACGGTAATGTCCACTGTGGCACCAAAAACTCTCCTGGAATTTACACTAGCGTGGCCGATCATTTGGACTGGATCAAAACTGTTCTCGAATCTTAAATAAGTGGAAATTTACCGACTAAGGCATCGTCTAACGGCATTTGAGTTTATGTAAATATTAAATCAATAGATATAAGATTTTGAAAACTGACGACGAATGATCTCCTTAATTTTAAACTTAAAAAATTCATTATGGCTTTCGGCTTATTCACGTAATATTTGGACGAGGAACTCGACTAGTTTCAAGCCATGCTAGAGTGCAGCGCGACAGTCACCGCGTCAACCGCGAATGTTGTTCATGAATATAAGCCTCGTCAAATAATTACATGAGTAAGTCAAAAACCATAATAATAAATATACTATGTCTCATGAAAGTCTTAAAAAATGATAAGTACATTTTTAATGTCGATTATTTATTTTATGTAATACTTTTTAGTCTGATTCTGTGCAATAAACCATTTTTATATAATATAAGTAATATTATTATTTATAGTATTTATAATGAGGTTCACTTTTAATTGTAATAGTAATTTTCCACTGACGAGAAAGTCTGATTACCATTTGCCATGATTGCCACTCCCTAGTACTTAAAGGACCAACTTATTATAAGATAACTTATTTATTTATTAAGTTAAACCTATAAGGAGACAGCTAGACCCTCTCTCACCTAGTTAGTTTTTGTAAGTTCCATAATAATTATGTATAAGAGTAACAAAATTAGAAAAGAAACTTGTATAATAAATGTTATTGCATGTATACAACGACTTTTCCATTTTGTTAACAGTTTAAGAGAAATAAAAAAACAATTATTTGCTAAAGAAATTAGTACAAATGAGATTTTTTGTTTGTAATAAAGTTTTTTTAATAATGAATTTTAAATAACAATGTTTTACATTCAATCTGTAATAATTTTGCAACAAATGGCGAGTCAGTCGTAATAATGTTACATTTTAAATTTTTTAAAACTTTTTTTTAAATCGCATAACTAAATACATATAATGAAAAAAGTTTTTACTTAAATACATTTTCGACTTTCTCGGTACTTTTAATAATCATATCATAGTTGGCTTGTTAAAATTGTTTTGTTTAAAATTTTAAATGTTTTGTGCATAATAAATGTATTTGTTTTGACGTTTAAAATGTACTTAACAGTAATTACCTAACATAGTAAATAAAGAAATGTGCCTTAATAAAATGTAAATCAATTAAAATGAAAAAAAAAACGATACGAGAACAAAAAATTACAAAAAGACAATAAATAGCGAATCATAAGAATATTTGATATTTTATTTTTTAAGTATAAGATTCCTGATATAGTTTTGTTTTGTTGGTCCACTGCAAACTGCTTATATTTTTGTCAAGTGTACCGTTCACTTTTCAATAGTTCCAGTTATGTGTTAAGAGTATCTTGTAAGAGAATTTTAGACACTCGAAAAAAATACTCTAAAGATATACACAACATAAAATCACGCCTTTTATTCCCGAAGGGGTAGGCAGAGGTGCACATACAGCACTTAATGCCACTATAAATGTAACACCTATTTTTCACTATTTAAGTTATGAGTCCCATGTAATAGGCCTGTGTGAGCCTGTTGCCATACACCGGGCACAATTCCAGTCCATTGAAATTCTGCAAATAAATTTGACTATAGTGGTTGTGATGACCACTAGATCAAAGAAGTAGCCCGGATTATCAGCTAAATGCTTATTAAAAGAGGCGAGCCTATTATCAATATTTTTTTACGGTTTATACCGTAAAAAAATATTGGTAATAGGTCTGCTCGTTTACTGGCATAAGCCAGTAAACGAGCAGACCACCTGATGGTAAGCAATCGACCATGGACACCTGGAACACCAGAGGCGTTTGCGGATTAAGAGTTTGAGATTCGTTTGGGATTTAGGAATTGGGGAGATTAGGTAATTCACGGAACGAAACACAAAGCAACCGTTGTTTCACGTCGGTTTTCTATGAGGCCGTGGTATCACTCCGCTCGAGGCGGCCCATTCGTGCCAAAGCATGGCTCTCCCACACTAAACAAATCTAAATCAAGATCTCTAATTCGCCAGACTATTACAATATATACAAGGTGATTTAGCAGACCTCACACAACCATCCTGAGTAAAGTTTTGGAGAATATTATCTATGTAGACAGGGAACGCGATCCTCCTCTTCCTTAAGGGTCTTAGGGCGGGAAGATTTTGAAATACCGACTCTCACGCGTCGAGGTGTAAGGAATTACACACATTATATTATAAAACACAGAAATAGGTACATAATTTTAACTATCGTTATGGCCACAATACTTTAAACAATTCACTTCCAGAGCAGACTTGTTTGAACGTGTATGAGCTTGGTTTGATCTTGTTCCACGCTTGTTAAACGTTTACAATACGGCGTCGTGAACGAAAGGGCCAAGTATGCACTCAAAAGAGTTTATAAATAATTAATAAATGTAAAATAAGTTACATTAATGGCATGCAAACAATAAATTAATTACAAATATCAGGAAATACTACATTTATGTCACAATGATAAGGGGCATAAGCACATAACGTTCCTTATTAGGCAATTCTTCCCTATACAGGTTAAACTTGTAACAACTTACGTGCAAGATTTGGCGTGAATTATGTTAGTATTAACGTACCGGGAAAATGATCGGGTTTTTCAGGTAGGTGCAATATTAGGTACACCTTTATAACAGATGCTGCATTCTTATGCAGTATTTAACCATATTTATTGACATATGTGATTGCCCGCTCATAGACAATTTTATGTCCTACTATCCCTATTTAAATTTTGTTCCAGTATAATTTTGACGTTAAATATTTCTAATTTTGAAATGCCAAAAGCGGTTTCGTTGTAGTATAATTTGTACCTATCAGAAGTAAAATATCATAGACATAGGTAGGATAGGAACCACCTTGTTCCGTTCCTCGTATCTATTTGTTAGGTAACAAAAAGTTTTTCAGATAGGCAAACGAGTAGATGGAGCTCTTGATAGTAAGTAATCGGCGTCGCCCATTGCCACCTGGTACACCAAAGGACTTTGCAAGTGCATCGCTGACCTGGGGATGGGAACGAGAACTGGGTTTCAACGTAACACAACGCAAGTATTGTTTCACAAATTAGCAATTATACACTTCAGCTTCAGAATGAAATCTGGAGCTGCTGACAGCCTAATGGGCTACTGGGGCTCCGGCTTGAAGCAGGAATAAGGATGGGGTGATTTTTAGTCAGTAAGAGTCTGACACTCTGTCTCGCCTCCCCCAAGGCAGAGGAAGTCTTGGCAGAGGAAGTATTGGATGATTTTCCTACTTCAAAATGAAGCCAGATGAATTTGGCATTTTCTAACCAGCTATTTCAAGAAAAAACTAAGAAAAACTAAGAGATCACAGTTTTTTAAAATTCTGATATCAGGAAAATGGTTGGTAAATAGGTCAGTTATGTTACTATTCTTCTATAGATTTATAAAAATGACATCATATTTATGTTTTATAGCTACCTATTACAAAATAAATGTATTGCACAATGTTGTGATTTCGTAGTTTTAGTTAGGTATCTACATTCTGTAGGAAAATATGCGATGATTCAATAACCTTTAATAGTAGATTGTTTAATAAGTATCTTAAACTGTCAAACACCAAGCGGTCACCGGTGACCGCAACCTATTGTTCTATAATTGTATCTATAATGACGGTACTCGACGAGTTAAATAATGATAGACAAAATAAAACTGGTTTTGCTGGACCGTTACTGGTGGGCTACTGCTTTTTTATATGTAAAATAAAAATATATATGTCAAGTATAAAAATAAATAAAGATAATAATAACAAAATAATAGTGTTTTTGTGATTTCTTATGCAATTTTTGTTTATGTATTATTTTTGTTGTCCGCCGTTGACTGCCTCGTTGGCCGAGTGGTCGCAAGTGCGACTGCTGGGCAAGGGGTCTCGGGTTCGATTCCCGGGTCGGGCAAAGTATTACTGGGTTTTTTAAAAAATCTCAGTAGTAGCACGGAGTCTAGAAATGTGCCCGGTATATGGCAATAGGCTCACCCCCTATTACATGGGACTTATAACATAAATAGTGAAAAGTGGGTGTTACATTGTCATTAAGTGCCGAAATGTGCACCTCTGCCTACCCCTTCGGGGATAAAAAGGCGTGATGTTATGTTATGTTATGTATTATTTTTGTTTTTAAAAATGAAAGTCTTTTGTCTAAACCCTAACTTCGTTTATTTGGTTCACAAATAATATCACATTTCCTTACTCTTCCTAAGACGTCTCTCTCTCTTTCTTTCATTCTCTTTGAAATATGCTCTCACGTTTCATGGGCAATGAGTACAATCAGATGCTTAGTCCACATAAGGACATAACAACAAATTGACGATCACACGAAACATAGTTCCGAGTGAATCGAAAGCATGACATATAATGCACAGCTGATGCCCATCACAAAACAATTGCGTTAAAAATCTAACTAGTCCGTCAGTTGGATAATGAAAAAAGTAGACGTAGTTTTTATTTTCTCGTATTAATTGTAATACTTAGATAAAATGGCGCTAAGTTTAGGAGTGAGAGGTCGTTACGTCATCACGTGCTACAAAATGTGGCACGCTGTGACGTCACACGATATTTTAAATTAATGTTCCGGAGTTCCACACAATGTGTGGTAGCAGCGCGACAGTCGCCGCGTCGCGGGTCACGAAATGCTGCTAATGAATATGAGCCTCTAGCATGGCTTGAAACTAGTCGAGTACCTCGTCAAATAATTACGTGAGTAAGCCGAAAACGTAATAATATATTTAGTATGTCTCACGAAAGTTATAGTTAATACAAACTCAATACATAGATTGAAAATGTTAATAGATTAATTTTTAATCCATAGGTTTTGGTTGCGACCGGTTATTCATTTCATTTCGACACTTACGACCTTCGCAACAAGACTAGAGCTGATGACAAACGTCATGATTTCGTCAATATAATCAACCTAATTTAAAATAATGACAAATTCATTTTTCACCTTTGTCCATTTCAACAAATAGCACACGGCACTTTTATGAATGAATATGATTCAGTCACGGGCCGTGTGCCACTATATTTTGTTCAAATGGAATGTCCCTTGCAAACATCGACAGTGACGTTTGCATCGGGCAGTCCCTTCGTGGACTTAATTGTACAATGACTCAAAAGGTTCTTTACTCGACCGTTTGACTGGCCTAGTAGACGTAAATCAGTGCATAGATTTAGGATTCCCGGCTTGAAATGATTTGGGCTTTCTTGGAGCTGTAGCGAAAATATACGAAAGAAAGTTTAATAATCTTTTAGGAGCAGTCTTTTGGTCTTCTGATGTATTTAAGAAAGTTGTCAGATTTCAAGTATGTTGCCTTTTTCAGTTTCTTTCAAGAAAATAGATAGAATCTGAATGGTTTTTTAAGTTTTGTTTTCTTATTCTTAATATCTAATCATAATTAGATAAAGATCAGGCGAAACGTTTCAATTTATTTTGTATTTTTTTCCTGAAACAAGATTAGTTCCCGAGGAAAATTGGTCCAAATTATTTTCCTTTATCAGGGATCTTGACTTTATCTATTATTAACCTTATCTCTTTTTTAAAGGGTTTAAAATTGTAAAACGAAAATTATTTTCTTCTTCCGAAAGTTTAAAATAGTGACGAGCTGATTTTGTGTCGTCACTTATGTAGCATTGTGGTAGCATATTTTCCCTGTAGATTAGAGGACACATAAAAGCAGGGAACAAGGCTTGGATTACGCATAAATGAAACTTGAGTCCACTAGAAGTAACGTTATGCGAATATTAATTTATTTAAAATAAAATTTGCGTATTTTTTGGTGCAATTTTAAACGCATCTATGATTCGTTTATTATTGTTGTTAACCTGTGCCGTAGGCGTTTGGACTTTTAAAATTAAAAGTGGTGAGTTTTTTTTTAATTTAATAATATTTTTTAAACTTTTGAAATTATTGCATTTTGACAAAAAAAAATTGGTAATTTTAGAACAAATTTAACTAAGCTCTGTTGGAAATTGAAATTGGAATTTCCACCCAATACTGAAACTTTCACTAATTTATTCCCAAATTTTTAGTTCCGTCCTGTGGCTTGGAGGCAAGTTCCAATCTCGTGCACCATAATCCATGGTTGGTGTACATCGAGTATTGGAGAGGAGACCATAGGACTTACGTGAGGTGTGCAGCTACCCTGGTAGATAGCAGACACATCATCACAGCAGCCCATTGCATCAGAACCCCAAAATTTACCAAGTAAGAGTGAAAGATGATTTTTTGTAAATTTGTCCCAAGTTTGGTACAAAATATTTTTTAATTTTATTTTTTGTCCCATTCATTTTTGTTTACGCTATATAAGACAAAAACCTATCAATGCTGTGGGACGTCACATTTTTCCCATGACGTCAATAGTATTTACCTTCCTGCGCTGTGGTGCGAATTTTCTTACATTATATGTATGCAGAGATTTTATAACATGACCATCTATTTTTTGTATTTTAATTTTATTTTTCCAAAAAGTTCATTTTTTTTCTATTAGTGTCTCTAGTAATTTGGGCATGATACAATCACTAATCACTACATTGTATAAAACAACGTCGCTATCCACCATCTGTCGGTCCCTATGTATGCTTAGATCTTTAAAACTACGCAACGGATTTTTATGCGGTTTTTTTAATAGATAGAGTGATTCTTGAAGAAGGTTTATAATAATATGTATAATACATGCACATATCACCCGTGCGAAGCCGGGGCGGGTCGCTAGTAATAAATAAACCCCAATAACCCGCGCTTTAGACCATATCATATATGATAAATTCAGGAAAAAATTTATTGTTTAGAAACCTTTTTTATGTATAGTAAATTAGATTACATTTTGCTTTATATATTGCAGTGCCCTAACCGGGTTTCATGTTCAAATTGTACCCAATTATGTTACACCTATTGTACACATGATATAATCCAATAAAAAATTGAATTTGAATTGTAATATATCAGTTAGGCTAATCAGTAACATGCATGTCGTCATACGGATTTACCAGTCTTATAATTGGAACCAATAATAGTGAATCAAGTTACCTTTTACATTATTTTAATTATAACTATCTCGGTTTCGGAAATACCGAGGAACGCGTAGGTTAAAAGATAAAATTTTATTAGGTAATATTACTTAACTCGGTAATGCAGTTGTAATATTTATAAAATTTAATAAGCACAATTTCTTGTTGTTAAGCGTAATTATGAGGAAATTGGCGGGTTTATTGCATCGTATAATATTACATAATATTCATGTCACATGTTAATTCTATTTTTTTTATTCTGCCATATTTGTTCCATTTATGTTTCAGACTTATATTTCTTTTTGCAATTAGATCTTATTTTTTACCATTTGCGTTCTCTTTTTTTCTAGATTAGTGGCTCGTCTTGGCGAGTATGACTTGTCAAAAGTCGAGGACTGCGTTGATGGGATTTGTGCTGACAAGATTGTCAGGATAGATGTAGAGAAAATCATCGTTCACCCAGAGTACGATGGAAAAAGTTATGACATCGCTGTTCTGAAGCTTGCAGAGGATGCTCCTTATACCGGTAAGAATTCTATTCTTATAATATTAGGGTTTAATTTTGCATTTCATGAAGCAGAGACAGAAAAATATATAAGAAAAAGGAAAATTAACTATGTTCTCTAAATTGTGTATTTAAGTTTATTTTTATTTGTCACAGATTTCATCCGACCAATTTGCCTGCCAACGGGCGAGCTTCAATCGGGCACAATGTTCGCGGCTACGGGGTGGGGCGAGATTCCCACTCAAGGGTACTACAGCACTACGAAGAAAATCATCCCCCTACCGTTATGGGGAAGAGCTGAATGCAAGGCTGCATACAGCACTCTAGTCGTGCCTGAAAACACTATCTGTGCTGGAGGTGAAGAAGGCATTGACACTTGTAGAGGTGATTCAGGCGGTCCACTAGTCCGATATGAAAGAAGAGCTGAATTATGGGGGGTGACCAGTGCTGGGAATAGCCACTGTGGAACTAAAGGCTCTCCTGGCATCTACACAAATGTCTTCGTGTATCTGCCATGGGTGAAGGACGCTTTAGCTGGAGTTCACGACGATAAAGCGGACAAGATTGATGTAGTTTAAGTATAAACCAAAAAAGACTAAAAAAATATTGTAACTAAGTGAGGTGAAAATACCAAAAAAATAGCTTTAATAAAAATGATAAAAAAGAAAAAGAGCCACACAATAAAATAAAATTAAAGTAGAATAATGTAAAAGTGGGAAGAAAACGAGATTTTCTTTTCTTTGCCACTTTCGAATATAACTTGTTGGCTCTTGTGGCCGGATAAGATGCATTTATTCTTAGGTATTAAGATTAATTTATAAAAAAAAAACTGTAAAAAATGTTACAAGTTCCTATTTTTAAAACAGAATATTTTTTTTCTGTGAATGTGCCATAAGAAAAAAAAATAAGTTCCTATTTCCTAATGTATTGTAAATATTATATAAGGTAATTTAAATAAATTATTTTATTTATTGAAATACTCGTTTTTTTCACCTCATTAATCCTTTGCGGGGCCAATTTAAACACAAAATTAGATGTCACTTGTTTTTTTAATTTTCATTCATCTATATATTAATATCACTGACATGGAGACAAAAATATAGACAATTTGGTACTTTCCTTTATCAATAATAAATTATTTGGACTGTTTAATACAATGAAATATCAAAAAATAATCATATTTTCATTAATTGATTTTATGACCAACTTAATTTTAGTATCTATCCAGGAAATTTTAAAAAAATAAGTACGCTGTTTGACACCATAAAAACATGACGTCACAATTCACAATCTCGTACAAAATTCATAGAAAACTCGTTTTTGACAGGTCGAAAAAAAGTATTGAATTTGACTAGCTGGCAAGTACCCAATTAGACAGCCATGTATTGATATTAAATAGGACTTTCAACTCAAAAAAGTTTTTATAATAACGTTGTTAATGTAATTAGGTAGTTAAAAAAAAGTAATGATTCCATAAATTACATATATAATATATAAGTATGTTTTTTGTAAGGGGCTAAATCATCGAATAACTTCTCCCGCCTGGGCGAGGCGGGAGGGAGTGTCAGACTCTTACTGACTAAAAACCACCCCGTTCCTTCTCCTGCACGTCGAGCCGGAGCCCTGGTTACCCGTTAGGTTCTCCGCGACATCAACAACCTGATAATATATAAGTATGTTTTTTGTAAGGGGCTAAATCATCGAATAACTTCTCCCGCCTGGGCGAGGCGGGAGGGAGTGTCAGACTCTTACTGACTAAAAACCACCCCGTTCCTTCTCCTGCACGTCGAGCCGGAGCCCTGGTTACCCGTTAGGTTCTCCGCGACTCCGAATCGGCATCGGCCCTTTTGGACCCCATCTGTATTAATCACTATGCTTACTGAATGCGGGTTGGCGATTTGAAACTCATAATTAGAAATTATAAGCCTATTCTCGCGATGTTTTCCTTCACTGTTTGTCAGTGGTGTCTAAATGACCTTGGAAAGTACATATAACTCGGAAAAAGTCACATTGGTACTTGCCGTTGGTAGCTTTCGAAGCCGCACGCTCGTGCATTTGAATTGAGCATCTTAAATCTCTGGGCCACCACAGTTTGACATAAGGTTCAGTATTCCTTAATAATATTTACCTAATTGGGATGATGACAGGGTATGAAAATTAAAAATATAATTAGTCCGTAAGTTACGTAATTAAAAAATATTAGACACGTAATTTTTTATTTTGTTGTACCTGTAATAATATAAAACTAATCAAAGTTTAGGAGTGGGGACTAAAACGTCATTTCTACGTATAAAATGTACATAGAAGTGACGTCACGCGACATTTCAAATCAATATATCATCGAAGTATTAGTTTCTGTAAGAAAATAAAAAATACGTGTCTAATGATTTAAAATAATCTACCAGACGTACATTAAAATAAAAATTAGGCATCTACCCTATTAATTTGTACCTATCTGGTATATTTTATTATAAATATACATCGGCGAACATTCCTGGGAAAGCCAGATGAAGTGTTATCACTATTTATTAGGTAACGGAAAATATTACAACAACAAAATGTATACTATGCAAGTTTAAAATGTAGTTGTTATTTTCCATCGATTTAGTACAAGCCATTTCTATAATATATTTTATTACTAGCTTTTACCCGCGGCTTCGCTCGCGTCACAAAAGGATAAAAAGTAGCCTATGTGACATATACCAACACACAGCGCCAACTATACCAATAATTTCGTTTTCCCTCAAGAATATCAATTTTTTCTGGGATAAAAAGTACCCCATTATTTAATCCAGACTTCGAACTTTACGGCTGCAAAATTCAAAGCAAACGGTTTAGTAGTTACGGCGTGAAAGCGGAACAAACAAACAAACAAACTCACTTTTCCATTTATAATATTAGTAAGGATAAAAACCAGAAAACGACTTTAAAAATTGTAGTTGTAAAAGTTCATTCCACCTAACTATAGTTTCAAAAGTCTGACAATAAGTGGGTATGGGTCGAAACAATCATTTTTAATCATATCACTCTTGAGATTTGAGGAGGGCCGATGACAGTCACTAGGCATAAAATAGTGAAGACTCAGTCTAGCGCCAAAAATAATTAGGACACAGCCAGCAGAACGAAACGCCTTAAAAAATAAAAATAATCTTCTAATATTTTCCGGTAAGATCAGACTGGCAGATAAAATAATACTTACGGCTTTAATGGCCAAATACTGAAACGTTTGTTAAATATAGCCCTCAGTTAATCAACAACATTTAAACACAAATATAAACCGGTATTTTTTTTTTAAGTGGGGAAAATCATCGAATGACTGCTCCCGCCTGGGTGAGGCGGGAGGGAGTGTCAGACTCTTACTGACTAAAAACCACCCCGTTCCTTCTCCTGCACGTCGAGCCGGAGCCCCGGTTACCCGTTAGGTTCTCCGCGAC